GATCGGGTTTTTGCTTCGGGGGCGATAAGCCATCCTTGGATTGTGTTTATTTGGTATGACTGCAAGGACAAGGTTGCCCTCCCGCCTTCCGCGCTCACTGACACCTAAGCCCTTAAATGACCCCTGCGGTAGGTAGATGGGAATGCCGCTTTCCAACCTCAGCCCTGGTACCACCTCGGACAGACAAACACCAGGTTAGTCAGTCGTGAGCGAGAGACCAAGTTCTCTGACATAATCAGGAACGTCTATTACGAGATTGGACTTTGCCTCCCACTGGGCAGAGCACCTTTTCAGGATCGTGAGTTTCCAATTCGGACTGGCCCGGTACAAAGCCCCTATTAGTGTGTTACGATGCCCCTGTTCTTACGGATTCATCCCTCCCTGACCAGGCCTGAGGTGTGCAAAGTCAGCCTCAAAGCAGATTACTGTATTTTGAAATCTACATGAAGACTAAAGACGATTGTTATTTTTACTTGGGAGCTACCACACTGAACTTAAAAAAAAAAAAATCAAGCATGTTTTATCAACATCCAGTTTATTGTAACCAACTAGGACAGGCTGTCAGCTACTATTGGGGGCTCCTTAAGTCACCTACATACACTGCCCTAAACAAGTTTCATAGCTCCCAAAAGAATGGACCTGCCCAACCCAAACTTAGAAAGCAGAGTCTAAGTTACAAAGTGTATCTGATAGATGTTTTTATGTTGCTTTTGCTGCAACTGCTTCCTACTTTGTCAGCAGTAGTAAAGCTTCAACATGCCTTCTCCAGCATAGACAGCCACTTCAAAAGCAAGGAAACAGAAAAAGAGAATTCAAACCCAATGATGTGAAAAAAATATATATACCCGACATCCCCAGTCTAGTTGCCATTTCAGAGTGGGCAAAACTGGTTCCATTTCTCTTTCCCCAAACATACTCCATTCATAGCTTCCACCATCCCAATTAATAACACATCTAAGTCTGGGACACCCCAGGATCTTCTTAATTTCTTCCTCCTCTATGCAACAAAGTTCAGCTACACCTGCAAGCTCGACTTTCAAAGTGCTAATGGGTGTGTATCCCAGTCTCTACCGTTTTCCCTACCATGATACTGGTCCAAAGCAATATTGTCCTCTGACTGCACTTTGCAATAGTCTCACATCCCTTGTACCTGTTTTGTTTTCTTTTCTTTCCTCTGAGGAGCCCATTTACAATACAGCAGCCAGAGTGATTCTCCTCATACCACTTGATTCAATTCTTAGCTTCTGTGACATTCACCCCAAAAACCTAGGTCTCTGTGAGACTGAATGACCCCTGATCCTAGTCCACTATCCTGACTTCTCTCTGACCTCGTCCAACATCTATGTCCCCAGTCATTTCCTCAGTCACATTAGCTTCCATGCTATTTCTAGAGAAATAAACAAATTCTGGTCTCCTGGCCTTTCATCTGCCGTTCCTTCTACTGCTCTGTTCTCTCTGCCTTTCCATTCCACCCACACCACCAGAGAAAAAGAAAACACCCGGGACAGTTGGAATGTCGCTTCTCACCTCCTTCATCCTCTCTCAAATATCTTTAATCAAATCTCGTTTTCCTCAGAGTTGGATAGCCTATCTTCCTGGCTTTATTTACCACCTCAAGACCTACATATTATGTTTTATTTATTTTATTTTTGACTCCCTCCACTGTAATGTCAGCTGTGAAAGTCAATATTTTTTATTTATTTTGTTGATTGCTATATCCTTACTATATCAACTAATATTATTGGATGGGTACATTAATTCATTAATTAGTAATTCAAGCACCTTATATTTGTATTATATATATATATATATATATATATATATATATATATATATATATAAAATCT